CCCCCCCCTCCCCAAATCTGCCCCAAACAACCCTTTAGTGATTTAAACAAACAACGATCATTTACCTGTTCCAGAATAATATCTTTTTTCATAGCCGGTGGTTCCATGATAGATAATTGCTCAAGGTATCTTTGTAGATCTATTAAGCTGGGAATCTGGTCTAGAAGTACCTCATTCATAAAACCTCTTAGCTGAAAAAAAAAATCAAATCTTTCCACTGAGAACTGGATGAAACCTCACAAATTATACTTTGTAAAAAAAATTCTGCCAAAATTGCCTCGGTAAGTAACAAAAAGTAACCAAATTTTAGATACCTTTAAAATTTGTTCCTTGCTATAAGAGTTAAGTTCGTACTTTCTCTGACAATCCTCGTTCATAAGGAGTTGATAGACAGCAAGCCATACCTAAACATGAAACATACAAATTATACAGCTTCAATAAACTGTCCAGCAACATGTTAACATGCTGATGACTGGAGAGGACTCTGCAAAGCAGCCTTTCTAAAATGTTCAATTAATACAGTTCCGTATTCCTTTTGATGCAATGTTAAATTCTAATCTAGTATAAACATTAATGATAGAAAGACGTAAATAACTTACAGGCAGGTTTTGACACATCTCTGAAATGAAAGAAAAGCTTTGTGTCCCAAGCAGGATTTGAACCCATCAGGGCAACCATGCTGAATACGTACAACAGGGCTGTAGCTAGTAACAGGCAAACCAGGACACTTGGCTCAGTCATTTTTTTTGTTTTTGTTGCCATATACACCCTAAATACCTAACCCCAATTGTTGGGGAGGAGCCATAAAACTCACAAATGTCACAAAGGAAAAATGTCCCTTGGATTGGCTGTGTTCTATCTACTATTTTTGATAACAATAATTGAAATCATTTTTAATTTTATAATATTTATACTAACAAGTAGAATATTCTACTTGTCATATAAGAGGAGAATTTAACCATGGGATACACATTGCCTCAGTCATAACTTTTTCATGGACATTCCTAGGTAGTCATAATTATTTTAATAATTATTTTAATAATTGTTTTAAATTATTTACCATAAATCAATGTCATTTTTAACTTACCTGACCCTCTGTTTTACTGAGTTGTAGTCTT